TGGCTGGGGAATTCTGGGAGTTGGAGTCCACACATCTTAGAATTGCTAAGGTTGAGAAACACTGGTGTAGAGGGAGCCTGGCTTGGTCTTATTTCACTTTACCTTCTGTGAAATTTATCTTCAGTTTGTTTTTTTTAGGAGGGAGAGGAAGATGAGCTCTTAATGGCATTAAAACTAAAAGGGTTTCCAGACTTCACTTCCACATTCTTGGCAAGAGAAATGCTTCTTTGTTCAAGGGAAGTTTGCCCAGAAATACATCATGGGATCGTAGCCAAAATGCATGCTACCATTATAGTTAAAAGGCTGCTGCTCTCAATTAAGCTCAGATCAGCTGGCAGCATCTAGCCCATTTAGAGGAAAGCTAAACCCAGATCTGATTAGTGCATGGATAGGAGACCACCAGAAAATCCCAAGGTGACAGGTTAGACTTGGAAGTTGCAAGGAGGCAGGGACCAAACTTTTCCATACTGTTGCCAAGAAAACCACAAGGACGTGTTCACGTAGATACCAGCAACTGGGCTCAACTAGTCTTTTCCTTGCCCACCAAGTCAAATATTTAGCCCACTATTCCTTTTTAAACCAATTTGGAAAAGAAAAACAAAAACAAGGATAAAACACAGCCTTTATATCCAGGAGATCTCAGACTAAATCTGGAGCAATTCCTGATGCAGCTTAGAAGGAGGCCTCTCTGAAATGTGGCTGGTGATATCAACGGTAGGCAAGCTAAGAGCGTAGGGCCACGTGTTCATCCAGACCCTTTCCATTTTGTTTCAGACCCTCTTCCACCCCACTTGCCAAAATCTTTAACCTAATCCCTTAAATAAGATGAACTTTTTAAAAAAGGAAAAGAAAACCCGGGTACAAAGGAATATAGAGATGACCTCAGGGAAGGTATGAAAGAGCCGTTAAGACGGAAGAAAGGAACAATCTGCTAAGGAGAGACTCGGAGAAGAGATTACACAGTCCTGCAATAGAAGGAAGCATGAGAGAAAAACTCAAAATATCCCTGCTTTCAGCAAAAGATAGGCAGGGGGAAACTGGGAGGCTTTCAACATTGATGCCAGCCCTTTGGGGTAGGCCAGGTGAAGAAGTAGACACCACAGGGATTCCAGGAATGTTATTTCATTGCTGTAGGGTACTGTTTCCTAACTGTGGCAATTTCCAGAGGGGTAGACTTAAAATCCCAGAATTCCATAGCCAGCATGGCTGCTGCTGAGAATCCTGGGAGTTGAAGTCCACACACCTGTTGGTGAAGATGATGGAACTTACTGAGGTGGCCAAATTGACTTCTTTGATTAGAGAAAATATATTGTCTAATTTTAATGCTGACTGGAAGCCCCTTGTGGGCTTTTTGCCTGAAACAGAAAAAAAATGAACTTATGATTTATGGTTTTGATGATTAGACAAGATAGATTATAGAAAGAAAACAGAAAAAAAATGAACTTATGATTTATGGTTTTGATGATTAGACAAGATAGATTATAGAAAGAAAACAGAAAAAAAATGAACTTATGATTTATGGTTTTGATGATTAGACAAGATAGATTATAGAAAGAAGAGAGCCATGTTTACCTCTTTCTCTAAAGTTACATTTATAATTGTACTTATAGCTGCTGTAAAGAAGATCAGAAGCCACTTCTTTGTATCTTTCTTCTTTCTTTTCTATTTTTTATTTTATTTTCCTTTCTTGCACGTTTAGTTTCCTCTTCGATTTCTTTTTCTTTCTTCTTTCTTACTTATATTAGTTTGCATTAGTTTTCATCTTCTTTTAAAAAATTTTTAAATAAAATTATTAAAAAAAAAAGAAGTCCACACACCTGGAAGCTGCCACAATGGAGAAACACTGCTGTATCAACAGAATCTGGAAAGCCTGTCCAAGTTTCTCTCTGCTTCATCTTATACAGTAAAAATAAAATCAAGGCAGGGTTACTCTGAGTTTCTTTGTCATGCTTCCTTCTATCTCAAGACTGTGCGTTTGCTTTCCCAAGTCCCTCCTTGATGTCTCTCTCATGCCTTCCCCAAGGTTGCCACTAAACTCCTTTACACCAGAAGACCCCACCTCTCCATCTGTGTGTATGACTCTACCCGCTTTACATCTTTATCTTGCTGACCATGGCTCCAGCATCTAAAATATTTCCTTCCCTAGTTTATGCACTGAACTAGGTAGTCTAATGGTTCAATGTGATCTAATGCAGATTCCTGGGTTAAGTTTGCTCGGACAATTTTAGGGATCGGAAGCTTCAGTCCTCCCACCTACTCACTGGGTTCCCGTTCTATGCAAAGCCATGAATGGTCCGTTTGGGCTGCAAACGCAGCCACTGAGATTTCTGCACCCTCGCTGACCACCCGCTCAGACCTGTCGACTGTTTTGATGCAACGTGCAAAGCCCAGCAGCGTCTGAAATGGCCTAGGTTCTTACCAAGACTTACCATATCTTTAAAACCACCCAAGACGGCCGCTGTGATGATCCCTAAAACCAAACCCAAGATATTCAATACTGTCGCCGACCAGAGCAGGTGGTAGAGGTGAATGATATCTTGGCAGCTGTTGACATCAATGAATTCATAATAGCCGCCAGAAATCTCCATTCTGCTGGATAGAAAGAAGCAAAAGTTCTCAATGGCATCAAAGCTAAACCTCTAAAAGGTTCAAATCTGCAGAAGGGAAAACGCCACACAGCTTTGCGTCCGCGTCCTTATTCATTCATCCTGCCCCCTTTTTCTCAGTAAGTAGATTTGGAAAGTAGACGAATAAGACGTCAAGAGTGTCCAATTGCCCGTTTATGGGGCACTGGCTTACAAAACAAAAAGGTTTGGTTGTGGAGGGGGACCTGGCCTTGGGTGGCTTGGCTGGTATGTTGTCCACCAAGACCAGATCTGCGCAGAAAAGGAGGACGGGCCGTGGAGGAGCTAATCCTTACGGCCCAGTGTGACACCCTATCTGAAAAGATCTTTCCATCCTCGGGGACTGCAAAACTTTCTCGGCCTGAGACATGCATGCCGTCAACTTGAACTCGCCACGTGGAAGGGCAGCGCTGCCTGTGCCACTCACCTTCCGCAGTGGTACAGGTCGCAACAGAAGCAGGTGTTGGTTTTGATCTTTGGAATGCAGGAGCTCCGGGGCTGCGGGTGGCAGATGGTCTGCATGGGAGACAGAAGCATCGAGTGGCCTTTTTTTGTTATTCCAACAAGGGCACCGGGGAATCCCGTTTCCGGCTTTGTGCCATGTCCTGCTGCAGGCAGGGGACCCTGATGCGGAAGGCATCAAACAAATTTAACTTTAGCCCTGCACACAGAAAACTAGCCTGTTGAGAACAACCCTAGGTTGAACCTTTCTCACTGGACATCCAAACCATTTTTGATCAGTGGTGACTCCTGGGGAAGAGCATTTGATTCCTTCAGCCTTTAGCAAAAATACAATACAATACAATACAATCACAGCTACATTTCTAAAGCTGGAACAAGAGGAAGATTTGGTTCTGGACGGAAAAAAATCAGGATTACTTACTGCTGGCTGGATGGTACTTTTGGAATAGTAGTGACAGCGTCCTGCATACAGCGGCCTGAGGTCCTGTAAAAAGAAAAGAAATGTTTCCCCCCCAGTTTTAAAACAGTTCAAACAGCCATCCCTTTTCATCAAAAGAGGGGACAAATATTCAGAGGAACCATTTTTTTCAAACATTGCACTGCATTGCCCATTTTAGAGAAGTCAATTCCCAGAATGCTCAGCAACGGCCATGCTGGCTGGGGAATTCTGGGAGTTGAAGTCCCCATGTATGGAGGGAGCCTAGTCTGGGTGATGCAGATGAATGAGACGCAATGCTGTGTGAGGATGAGGGTGAGGAATCACATGTTGACATCCTCTGCTAAACACAAACTAGGACAAACAGCCTTGCAAGCAGAAAACCAGCATACCTGGCTGAACTACTATTCTCCTCCCTGATGAGCTACATTTTTTCATTTTTACTAGCAGGAGTATAATATTTGTTCTTTTTTACTATCCACCCAACGAGGTAGAGCAGATCAGGAAACACACTCCACAGGAAGACCAAAATACTACTTTATTTGGTTTCTCCAGGGCTTCTCAGAGATCATTGTGCAACGCTCATGTATTTTCAGCTCCATATCCCTAATCATGAGAACTAGGGCCTTGCTTTTTAAAACCGAAGTTGAGAAGATCTAGAAACGAGTTTCCCATCCAAATGGGTAATCTCTCCTGTTTGCTCCAAGTTTTTATGCAGGCCTGTGGGGAAGACTGGGGGTTTGTCAATTCCCCACTAAATCCTTCTAGATCCATACTCACTATATGCCTGGCAGCAAACACGCCATCCACAATCGCGCAGCAGAAGGCGGCAATGACGCCAAAACTGATGAACACAATTGAAGCGACCAGCTGTGGGGGGCAGGAGGGAAAAACAGAAGAAACTACTCAGTTGCAAGTGGCTGGCATTTTATCTAAAGGCTTTCTGCCATAGCATACACGGAGAGCTATTTTAAGAATCTACCAGAGTTCCCTTTAGCAGTACAGAGTGAGCTCTCTGAAAGAAGCTCTGTTTACACACACAGAGTGTAAAGCATGTATTGTAACGCTGATCTATTTTGGGATGCACCAGCCTTCAGTGGTAGAATATATGCAAAGCGTGCAAAAGATTCTTGGCTCAGTCCCTTGCATCGTGTGCACACACACGCACACACACTAGAATTAACTGGGTGGTTGGGGTTGGAGGAGACCCTCTTCCTAAGAGCCAGCAAAGTCAGCCAGCCTCGGAAACACTAGACTAGAATCTAGCTGCTAGAGAACCAACTGGGGTAACGTAGCTTCCCGTGAAGGACTACGAATTTCATTTACATCCATCTTGCTGGCTCAAATCCTACTGTGTACAAAGGCAGGTTTTGCAAAAGTCCTGGCTTGTGGATGAAGCCACCGTGGTGGCATTCACAGGCTGCCCTAAGCCATGCACACCAGCTGGGGTTGCCCTACACACCAAACCGTAGCCAAACCAACCACATGATGACTCAGTGCCTTGTCTAAATTCAGCCAGTTGGGCTGGCTGACAATCACGTGGGTTGCACTTGCTTTACTTATCCGAAGCGCCGATACTTAACTCCCAAAGGTCACCCAACCGGCAGAAGGAAAACACAATATCCTTCTAATATCCCTTTAAGGGTGTCTCTCTTTGGATGACGCCTGGACAGAATCTTTCCATTGGTCTAAAAGTGGGAGTGGACCTGGGCTAGGAATGCTAAGTAGACCAGGTTGGCCTGATTCATAGTGGGAGACCTCCAGGACTGTGGGCTAGGCTGGAAAACGGAAAGAAACGCCATAGAAAAGGGCAATGGCAAACCACTTCCATAACACAGCCAAAAAACCCTGCATGATGTAGTCAGCAAGAACCAACCTTGACTCAAGGTTTCAAAGCTGGTGTCTCCACTGAGCTACAACGGAAACATCTTCACAGGAAAAGCAGGGGCTATACTCAATCACATCAGTGGTCTCTTCTTGGGTTAAAATTAAAAGGGTCAACTCCCTTGAGAGGTAGCCCCATCCGTAGCTAAATCCAGCAGTCTTCCCCAGTACTGTGCTGGCTAAGAATGATGGAAATTGAAGTCCAACAACATCAGAGGGCAGCAAATTGGGGATGGCTGAGTCCAGTCACTAGAGAACACTGATTGTAATATGAAGGACCCTCAATCACCTAAAGATAACAACGATGGGGGCTTCAAAGTGGACCAAATGTGTCCCCAGACAGACATTCCCTGGTTGTTGATGGATATAAAACACCTAGATTCTTCTGCTATTAAATCTAGCATTCTCTTAAATACCTCTGTTGGGCACTGTTTTCTAGGCAAGGCTTTTGGCTTGTCCTGTGCTGGCTTTTTCTCATCTTACCTATCTTTTCTTGAGTTCTCAAGGACACAGACCTCGTGTCTTGCTTGCCTATGGTCTCATATCATTTGGATGAAAAGGTAATTAGTTTACCACTAGGAAGTGTCTACTGACAATTTGAAGAGCTCTCAGCTAGACCTTCTTTGATTCCTACTAGCATGGCAGTGGTGATGGGATCAGCCTGTTCTGAGACTCAGAGACAGAACATACAGGAGTGGAACCCTGGAAGAACAGCTGAGAATGTGACACGGAACAGAACAACAGAGATTCGTTCATCCCAACATCACTTCCTGGTCAACTGGTCACTTAGGGAATCTGGCTGCCTGGCCATTCCTCACTGACCTGCTGGACAATTGCTGTTCCACCCGTCTTACCACCACCTGATGGTCTGTCCCAAGGTACTTCTGTTTCCATTTATACTCCCTTTTTCTGTGAAAGCAGATGGATCATAATTTTGAACAACAGCTCAGAATCATGATCATGAAGGGAATAGAGAGGAAGAAAGAGGGGAGAAAAGTAAATCCATTGAAGGGATTCACGCTTTCATGATGGTTATACTAGATATCATGACATTATTCCATAGTGCTGTCTAAGACAGTCCAAGAAGAAGCCATGTGATATTTGGGACGGCTTCTTCTCCTGGTGCTCCATTTTTCAGCCAAGGAGAGCACCCCCCTACAAAGTAGCTTCAGCCATTCAAATGAAGCCCAAAGATGGAGACTGTTTGGGTTACATGGATCTGCTCTTTTTTTCTCTCTGTGTAAAAATACAGGCAGCCTCTCTTTGCTCACGGCAGTTGATGACATAATCTAGATTCTAGGCTCTTCCTTCTGGGGGGAGGGAACAAGATTTGCAGGTGGATCAAGGAGTTGGTTAATCAAAAAGAGGTCAGTCCATAGAAGCAGCCCTTGAGTTGATGAGCCAACAGGTAAAGACTTAGCTGCACCCCCCCTTCCCTAAAATATACCAGGGAGAATAGCTATGGGAAGTGGCTAGATGATTCCAGTTGAGCCAAAAGATGCAGATTTGGTCTTCTTCAGATACAATCAAGCACCTTATCACATAGATCTTGGATGCCATGAATTGCCAGGAAAATTTCTCTTCTTCAGATGAAGAACCCTATCCCCACCCTCATGGAAGATGTAACTTTCAGTGCCTTGCCAATCCAGAAAATAGTCCATCCAGATTTCTTCTCTGGTCCATTCTCTTGAAAGAGTTCCTGGGCATAACATTCCTAGCTGGCTATTGAATGAACCCATTTCCTGAGTTTATATAATACACTGAACTTACCAAACAGGTTAAGCTTGTACACCATGCTAAATCACAACCTACTCTCCCAAAACCTAAGCAAGGTTAAAACCAACAAAGTGCTGCATGTTGTACAAATACAGTTGCAAGGTCATTAACAACCAAAATATGGTAATCTGTAGGGATTCTTGCTACCCAGACATTTTAAAGAGGCTGGGAAGAAGCACAGAGGAAACACTGTGCATGGCACAAGGACCGGATTCAACTTCCTACATCTTCCAGTTGAGTCAATAAGCAGTGGGCGATAGGAAAGATTTCAGTCTAAGAAACCAGAAAGATGCCGCCCATCTGGGCCGACAGGTGCCAAGTTAGATGGACTGATGGTCTGACTTGTAGATAAGTTCCTTACGAGACTCTATGATTTAATGGCAGATGTCACACTTTGAATGCAATGTATCTCCAAGTAAGATTGGGAAGGACTCCTGGAGATTAGAGCATTAAAAAAGCCCTGTGGGTGGATCAGACCAAGGACCCAACCAATTCAGCCTGCGTATGTGCATATAGCCTCTGATTCCCTACACAATCCTTTCTCCAGAAGTCTGCATCTGACTTTCTATACTTCTGTTCAATTCCAAGCAAAGATATTAAGTGGGAAGTCCTCTGAAGGCTTAGGGTTAACTTTCTGGCTCATCTCCTCCTCTACTGGGAATGAGGTGGCATTCTTCACTAAGTGCACCCCTTCAAAAGTAGGTTTCCCTAGACATGTCAGGTTTGAAATATCTGGGAATGGTCAATCTCAGCCAAGAAGATCCACGTTCTGCTTATGGAGGAGAAATCAAAAATGGTTGGAAAGAGGGAAGAAGTCATTAATGCTAATTAATTAATTGATTTAAACACTCCTCATAACCTTCTGGGTTGTTCTAAGGAATACAGTTTGAACCCACAGGTCTATCGTATTGCATAGTGGCTGCATCAGGCTAATGTCTAGGTCTCTGTTTAACAAGAGCTTTAAAAAAAGAAAAGAGCGAGGGTCAATCTGAGATCATTCGTCAATTGAGAAGAGGACTCTGATAGAACAAGGAGAGGCTGTAACCCAATCTTAGTTCCTGCTTAACTATGAAGTCTGCTTCTACTGCCTCAAGCCAACGTCTGGGCCCTGCGGGAACATTAGCAAGCAGTAAGTCAAGGCTGAATCTTGGCCCACACAAGGTGTGTTGAAGAACTTCTTGCGAAGGCTGGGTTATGTCAGGGCCTTTCCATAGATAAGAGCATCAAGCAGACTTCTCTCAACACATAGTTCGGTATTCAAACGGTCAGGTGGATCACTATTCTCATTTTCAAGAGAATTAAGCTGAAATCCTGGCTTGTGACAGGTGTTCTACCACTGAGTTATAAATCAGTGGAAAGTGACCATGTAATCGGATACAACTCAATTGACTAAACCGTAGCTTAGCAAAGTGAACATATGCTGAGGGTAAGCAGCACTGAGAGAATGTGAGCACGCTCACAAAGTGGTGGTCATGGTGGACAGGGCCAGTAAAAAAAAAAAACCCACCCATTTACCAAAACTGGGAAGTTTCTTCCTGGCTGTTTTTCTAGCTCTCGGGACCCTTCCTAGCATCTTGTCCTGTGCCCTTTTCTTTTCGGAGAGGTGGACATATTTGCAAACAAATCACTGAGTTTCACTCATCTGCCACTTTTCTTTACAAGGCACCCTTGAAAACCAAGAATGCTTTTCAGCTGCTCTTTTATGTTTTTTGCAGTTTAAGACATCAGACACTGGTGGGCATTCACAAAGGTATTCAACAACATACTGATTCTCAGGGGTACCGTATGGGAACCCCAAATCTAAAGCAGGGATTGTCAAACTTTTTCAGCCCACGCAACCTGCTGAAGAATTCCCAGAACCCTTGATCAAGGGGCAACATTTTAGCTGTGTTTGAGTAACTTTTAAATTTTTTTAGCCTTGGTCTCTTGTAGAACTGTAGAGCTTCATCGAACACGCTTTGAAAAACCCTGACCAAGTGTGTTTTGCAGGGGTGTCCGCAGGATTTGATCAAAAAACTCAAGACTGTGGCCATGATGGCGTGATTGAAGCTCCACCCGCTCATGTGCGTTGTAACACATAAAAATGGACAGAGCTTCAAATGCATTGTTGTGGGTACCATCTTGACTTTCTTGACCGTATCCTGCAGACACTCTGGTGCTATGCTTGGCTGGCTAGCTGAACCTCTGGAGTATGATTTGCATTCAATCCATGTCTAACTCTGGTTTTATTATGTTTCTGCACTCATCAAATTCCCTGGAATGGCAAAAGTATTATCATTTTGCATGGTGGTTCCAAGGCTGACTACATCAAGGAAATAATACCATTAGCTGCACTGGAGCTTTGATTAAGAAAAAAAAGCTTCTTTCCATGATACTTTTCTGCTCGTCAAGCTAGAGCTAAAAAAAGAAAAACAAGGCAGAAATGCCTGCTTCTGGCACAAGGGAATCGAAAGAAAATTACGAATTCTTTTTATTACATTAACATAGAAGTAACTTCATCAGCAGATCCACTTACCATTTGCCTTTTATTTTCTATTAAATTGGATCCAATAATTCCAAGAAATGATCCAAAACCCAGCTGAAAGGGAAAAGATTTAAAACATTTACATTCTGGCCTGGAAGTTGATTACTTTTTCTGTTTGGCACACAGTCATATTTGGAAACAGAGTGGAAAGATGGAGCACAAACACACATTAATAGATCTTTCAATACTTTTCTCCCAGCCTAAATAGGAACGTGGGCAAATTAGGCAATATATTGTGCAATAATAAGAAGGGTATTTTTGCCCATTTACAGAACCTGCAACTATCTTACAAATATTTCACCTCACTAGTTTGCTCCTGGCCAACTAAGACTGACCCAGTTGCGTCAGTGGAAAAAATGGGGGTCAACAATCAGCTATGGGGAAGTTAAGAGCTGTATGTATGTCAAATTGGCAGTAAATCTCTCCCCTTTTCTTTGTTCTTTGGCAGCTCCAAAGCCTTGGTGGCTGCCTTCATGCTTTTACGTTAAGATTGTTTATGCTTTGAAAAGGATGGAAGAAGCACTTCAGACTTTACAGGAGCAGAGCAATTTTCTCTGCCTGAAAGAAACTTTGCTATTCTGGGCAACGTGTTCAATTTAATGCCTAGAGACTGAGGTTTGATGCAGGTCTTCCAAGTAATTTCAAAGTACGCATAAACCTGTTCTAGTTTACCTCTTGAGCAAAACAGGTGGGAGCAGTCTGTAAGAAGCAACCAGAGAGGACCCAGGTTGCTATTTCCAGGGACAGAATGGTGCAGAAAAACAGGCTACTCCTACCTCTGAATGCGAGCATCGCAAAGCCAGGCGCTTATCTCAGGAAGTGTAGTACATTAGCAATGAAAAATGTTTTGCTTTGGTCACGACAGTGACAAGAAATGGAATCAGAGCCAAACCACACATGGCCTCTGTTTGTCCCTGGTATCTCCTCTTCATTCATCTTAGGAGATTTCAGGAGGCTTTAACAATGGGATGGTGGGATGCAGGGGAGAGCAATCTGAAACCTTGTAAGGGGCACTGAGAAATCATTGGCCCAAGACATGCTCACCCAAGCAAGTTGATCTTCCTGCACCTTGCAGAAGGTTGGATTCCAGATCCTTGGGATCTCTTCCAACTCCACAGTCCTGAGGTTCTATAAATCAGGGTTCCTCAACCTTGGCAACTTGAAGACGGGTGGACTTCAACTCCCAGAATCCTTGC